GTTGCAAAGATACGAGGCCCTCAGAAGAAAAACAGTGCCTAGGTTCAGCTCTCTTTTTTTGACTTTGTTTGAAAATAAATAATATTCGAAAAAATGATATCCAGCGGATGCCAAAGGTTATACAAACAACCACCATGTATAATATTTGTCACAAAAGGCACCCTTAGAGGCATCAAATGTGAATTGGTCATATATTTAAGGGTGACAGTGGGGTATTTTATCAAATATTGACACTTTCAGAAGGAAAAAAAAAGCTTGATATTATTTTTAAGCTGTAATGAGTCGGTGTAAATCAGGATATAAAATGAACAGACGAGGAATTGCCAACAAGATTAGTCTTGAATGGCATTATATCAATCGAAAACCAAGGTGTAGTGTTAAAAAGCAGTTATTTCGTCAAAAGTTTGTCAATTGATGACATATCATAACTGTTGCAAAGATACGAGACCCTCAAAAGAAAAACAGTGCCTAGGTTCAGCTCTCTTTTTTGACATTGTTTGAAAATAATTAATATTAGAAAATATGATATCCAGCTATGTATAACATTATCAAGTCAGCCCCTTTTATGCTAATACAGTAATTACATATGTGTTTTCATGAAGAAAAAGTAATAATTTGAAATGCACACACATCTTCACTGCAGCTCCTGTAATGAAAAGTGCATTGTACCTCAAGTTTTAAAAGGTTTACATATCAAATTGCTAAAATTAGTTTCACGAAAATGATTAGTTTTGTATTGAAATAGTTTTAATAATTAAACAATATCTAACTCTAAAATTAGCTTTGCAAAATATTGTATCTTTAAAGGTACATTATTTATGTTTGAATAATGTATTTAGGACATATAAAATGATTAACATGTGAAAAAAGCAGTATTGAATGTAAAAATAATTTCCCATAAACGCAGCAAAAGGTAAACAAAGTGGTATCTTGTCTCTCATAACAAGATGCTTAATCACTAAAATATTTTACTATTTGCCTAATTTATAAAAATCAAAGATGATTTAGCAAAATGGTCAGTGTGTAACGTTTGGGAAATTGCAAAAGTTTGAAATAATAAAGAGACAAATATTATAAATTGTTTTTTAAAAACATAAAAATGAAAGCGCTGTTGGTTAAAATATTGTTTTTGAAAGTATGAATGCATCCGTTAATACAAACGCATAAAGGTACAATTTGAACTATCTATATTATTTAGGGTGTTAGGGTTTGGCTTAAGCTAGGGTACGGAATTAGACCCATCACGTTGTAAAATAGTTCTTTAACATTTTGAAATGCTCAAATTCAAGTCATTTCAAGTCTGATTGTAATAGATAGAGTATATGTATTGCATTCGTCCTGTTTTATCTGTTATATGATGGCTTTATACGTTGCTTTATGTGTATTCTCCAGTACTTTATTTCTGGGCGGAAGGATAAATGATAAACTACGCAGATTAAACAGCGTCACGATAAAAAGAAAATTATGAAAAAAGTACATGGCTAACATTTTTATTTTTTGGGCTGCATTTGACTCGCATAGTGTTGATTTTAAAATGTGAAGACAGCATAAAATCAACACGGATTGTGGAAACCAGAATATATCTCAAATGAGACCGATATACTAGATCTATATGGCATAGAGTAAGTAATTTTACTAGACCGAATCCTTTATTGGAATGCAAAGCTATCTTATTTGCTGTCTTAGTGACGATGCCATTGCTCGGCGCCCACAGGCACGGAGCTATTTGTGTTGACTATTTTTTTGTCCATGGACAAAATTTTTATCAATGAATCCCTTCGATTTACAGCAAAAACTTCTTCCGATTTCTATTATGTAAAGTCATATATTGGTTTCCACTTCGATGAGTCGCAGCATGTCATATTAATGATTGAACAAATTTCACGCCAAAGCAGTATCAAAGACAAAACAATGATAAACTTAAACTCGGTGAATTATTTCTTACATGTGTATCTTCCACGGGAAATTGCTTATTGTTATGTAGTGCACATGGAGTTATGTATGCATTTAAACAAACTAGAAAATTTTGCAGGAAATAAATATTTAAATTGACCCTGACTTCTCAAAATTATTGATTATATTCTGTATCGGCAATCGGTTTTAAGGTGGTTTGAGTGGAATGTTGATTTGCCGAATACTGTGACATTTTAACAACAGAAACTTTCGTCTGCAGTTTGAATATGACGTGTTATGTTGTAAGATACAGCATCGACTGCTGCTACCATCTCCTTCCTGAGGTGGGTGCCATATTCACTGGGCGTTTCAGCGCTTCCCACTACGCCCTCCTATGGTGCGCCGTCTAGATGATATCAAGCTCTAGCCAGGAGATGGTAGGCTTCAGATATCCCTGCTTCCTCTGTCTTGAAGCGGGTACTGTCTAACTATTTGTCTTTCGACCCTCCATCCATGGCTCTTCTTTCTTGATCCAGTTCCACAATGAGGCTGACTCTGCTTCATGTGCTATGTTAGATATGGCTTTGTTGCGCGCTTATCCTGTGTGTATGGGTGTATAGGAATGTAAATACAGGGGGTTTTGAAGCAATTAAACAAAATAGTAGATTGATCTCCCAATAAATCAATTAACAATTATAGCTCTTCATTTATCACCAATGTCAAGAGGCTTTTATATCCTTGAGTCCCACGAACAAGATGTTAGTGAATTTCCTCATACATGTCTAAAATTCAGGTAACAGTCTTCCATTTTATTGATAAACAATGTTTCACCATATGACGGGTATAAAGCACAAAAAGTCCTGATTTCTTTTTTAAATTCGTCCCATTTTTTCATTCCAGTGTGTGTCATACTTTCAGTATTTATCTGGGACTTGAAATATATCTACTGTATCTTTAATCTTAGGCATTAATAAAAACCTGATGTGAAAAATGCATGTAATGTTAGTCCGTTTTGTTATACCGTAATTTGTATATTTGTTACAATTATAATTAATGAAAAACAGAATTTATTCATTTTCCCTACTGTTTTGTTTGTTCCAAAGAAAATACATTTAATATTCTCATCTCTAGCAAACCTACCAAAGTTGAACAATGTCTTTTGTTCTCCCATTCATTCAATAATATATGATATACAATTCTGGTAATCTAATCCAATTAACCATTGAAAACTTTTTAAGTACATCTAGTTATCAGATGTCTACTAGTTCATCGTCATTTGCTGCATTTCTTGCTTGGAAGCCCTTTGATGCTTTGCATCAATTTTTTCTTGTAATATCATGATAAACTATTTGCCGCGAAACATGCAAAGGACATTTTGAAAAGTAAAGTCAATGAAAGTTTTTTTTGTTTGCTCATTTACATTTTTATATTTTTAACCATGATTAGTTGTTGATATTTGTAAAAATGAGTCGCGTTATAGGTGAAAAACAAATGTACATGCTTTGATATTTTTTAGCATCTTATATTACTGACTACAGTAGTAACACAAACAGAACAATGTTGCACCATTGTCATGTCACATTAAGGTTTACAAGTCGTGTAAGTCTTTTTGTATTGAAATTACTTTCTTTACCAGGTAGGCATCAGTGAAAGCAATTATTTTTTGAATTTAATATGTGGCCCCTCTCTCATGGATACAAGTAGTGCTAAACATCCGGAATAATGTACAATAATACTTAATCTGGATAAATAATGACCGGTGCGTAGGAATGATTTGGTAAGATATCTGTAATAAGCGCATTTTTATGCGCGGAGCTTCTCAAACATTTGTACTTGTTGATATTTATGTTAAATTGCTTCATTTGTTATATGCTTTAAAACTGATCTACAAAATGCCTTAAATACTATGAGTTATTAGTGTAATATATAAAATCTTGTTGTTAATGAAACTAAGACTAAAATGATGATTTTTAATGGATGATTTTATTTCTACGTATAATAGTAAAAAGCTTGATTCAGTTGATAGATTTACTTACCTTTGGGGAACTTAATACTTAAAACATTAAATGTCTTGTCGAAAATGCTCTTTTATTGTATGGTATATGGTGAATTGGACATATTTCCATAAGTCTTGCAAGTGAAAGCAAGAGTTTTGTGTTACTGGAGTAAAATTATTAATGCTTAGGAAAATAAGATATGTAAACATCTGTATAAAACAATTTGTCTTTGTCCTTCAGGAATATTGTTAAATGAATAACATTTGTGTGTGAAAGAAACGCTTAATAAGCTTGGAATGTCAGAAAATTTTTATCTACAGAAAGTAGATAACACATATCACTTTAAAAGAATTGTGAAGCTTAGACTAAAAATATCTAGATGTACTTCCATTTGACAAATGCAAATATTTATGTAAATTTAGAACAATGAATCACCTATTACCAACATTTGACAAATGATCATAATTATAGGCTAAAGTCCTTATATCTGTATCAAGCTATTGAATGTTCGTACTTTAATGATGTTAGACGTAAATCTCTTCTTCCTCGTTTTTATATTCATCCCAATATCTTTTAACTTGACAGATAAGTGTATAGTTGGGATAAAAACTAAACTATCTTTATTTTGTAAAAATATTATGTTAAAATTTTGATAATGCTTCTCATTCTCTGTATGTTCTCCCATTTGTCACAATGTAAAATAGTATTAAACTCAGTATTTACCAACATTTTTACCTTTACTTTAATTTTATTGAAATTCAGTAGTTGAAATGAACAATAAGATCACCTATTTTTGTTTATTTAGCTAGTCATAATTGTACTCATTAAATGTGATATTAGCTAATTTTTGACCGTTATCTTCTGTTCTGTTCATTTGTTTGTTATAACCAGTTTCATATCACATGCCTTGGTTTAATAAAAACTGAAACTGAAGCTTTTCTCGAAGGCCATAAATCTATATGACTGGGTCCTATGCATTAACATCGGTTCTATTTTCAGTTTGATATAAAAAGGAAAAGAACATTGGTTGTGGTTATCTCCGGTGCATGCTGATCGAAATCTATTATTTGACCTTCTTGCGCTCAGGAAAATATAGGAAAAAATACTAGACAATACTGACTCGTTTAATTGTATTACATGTTTGATTCTTAATTGCATTCGTAATTCTTAATCCATCTTTTTGGATGGATTTTTGAAACAAGCTAACAGTGCGACATGCCTTCGTTGTGCATACATAAAATTGTGTCAAAAGCAATTTAATGAAAAATTAGCACAATCTATTCCGACCTATTCTTTTTGTTCTTTCAAAAATTACATGAGTCATTTGAATACAATTGTATCTAAAAAGTGATATTTTCCAAACATATAATCAATGTAATAAAATACAAAACATATATGCATGATGGCAAAAACAAATAGTGAGTTATGAATATATCAGATGCAATGCGTGTATATAAATTACCATATGCTATCACAAACTGCTCTCACACAGATTATAGGCTGAGTTTTACATTCTTGTGTCTACATTATATGAATTTGAATTATTATGGACGTGAGATACGTTACGAAGATGGACGTCTGACTCAATTCTTTGTGGTGTTTCCTTCTCCTCCCCTTCCTCAATAGCCAAAGCTTTGCAGCAGCCGACTTTTCTGCAGCAGTAGCAATTTCCGGTTATCTTCATAAGAAATCGGTCAAATGGCGCCAATGAGCGCATGCATTCCGGCAACCATTTCCAATTTCGTAATTTCTTCGGTAAACATTTTGGACATTTTTCCTGTATGACCTTTATGATGAATACAATAAAAATCAAGACACCAATCGGAATGAACACAGCTGCAAGTGCTATCCAACTGACAACTGAAAGAGCAAAGCCTGCACCAGGAAGTATGAAGAATGCGAAAATGAGATACAACACAGCAAACCAACGATATTTTGCTGTCTGCGTACCGAGAAACTTTGCTGCTCTAATTGGTGGTCGAAAAAACGGTAGCGGAAAGAATAGTAAAATACCGCTTAAGTTAAAGAACAAATGACATATAGCAATTTGTAAAGAGTTTTTAAGTTTGCTTGGATCCTGTGCAAATGCTGCAAGAACACTTGTCGCAGTTGTTCCAATATTTGCACCTAGGGTCAATGGGTACATTCTCTCCACAGTCAACACGCCGATTCCCACTAATGGTGTAAGCGATGAGGTAAATATTGAACTCGACTGAACCAGAACTGTCATTCCCGCCCCTATCAAAATAGCAAGATAGTCTGTAAAGTAACTACATACTCCTGGAAAATCAGCGTTGATGAACTTTCTGATAACGTGTGCCATCTGACCTCTTAGAAGCGAATGTAAAAGTTTCACTATGGCAACAAGACAGGCACACAACAACACAAGGGCGATTATCAACAAAACAGCTCCGACGGCTGCATCACTCCAGCCACCGTCACGTGATACGCTTTCAAAGAGGAATTTACCTGAAAACAAAACAAAACTGAAAATGAAAACAATGAACTTTCATTTATATAATGCTGACATCCAACAAATCTGAAATTTCAGTAACTATTAAAAATATTGGTTGTCAGGTGAAACATCGTGTCATTTATGGTGTTAAGAGATCATTTAATATGTACCTAGCAAAGCACTTGAGCGACATCATATCACAGATGGAAAGATATGCTACATGGGCTATATCTATTGGTATACAAAGTGCCGTAAATAATATCAATTCTTGCCGTAACAAACATTACTAGTGAAGCATTCAGACCTTAAGATTTCTACCACAAGACCCCGACCCATTTCACTTTCCTGTCCATTTCACCTTCTGGCCCATTTTCAACTCCTTAGGTATATTATCAACCTTATTTCCAGAATATATATTTCACAGCCCATTTTTTGTCCCTGTCTGTTTGACCTGAACTCTTTGCTATTTCATCACCCTGTCCAACCTGATCTCCCGGTCCCATTGGTTCCCAGGTCTATTTATCAATCGACCCCTTAAATTTTCAGGCCCTCTTTGACCTTCTGATCCTTCCTGACAACTTAGCCCCCTATTTGATTTCCAAGCCAGGACCCCCCCCCCCAAAAAAAAAAAAAAAAAAAAAAAATAAAAAAAAAAATAAAATAAATAAATAAACAAAATGAAAAGATCAAGACGAGGTTTGAGATTCACATTTTTCTACTCTCATTTGTTAAGTATTTATAGACAAAGTGTGTTTGTTTTGTTTGTTTTGGGTTTTACATCACATCGACACAGTATAGGTCAAATGATGACGTTCCAGCTTTACTGGTGGAGGAAGACCTCAGGTGCCCTTCCGTCCATTATTTCATGCACGAACGGGCACCTGATATGGACAAAGTAATAAGGGACTCGGTTTATTTTAGATTAATGGCACGAAGCTGCGATTTGTTTTTGATGTTCCTCAACAGTTACACAGCAGTAATAGCCAGTTATATATTTTAAATGAAGTACGTATATTTAAAAAGAACACGTGTCACTATATTTATTCAAGTTCAATTGCCGTATGTATAACGAAGGCAGTAGATAACAAATAAATAATATCACATGAGTGACTTGGTGGTAACACAACGCGGACTAAAATCCTTTTTTCCGGGGTAGAAAAAGATAAATTTCCTTTACTCTAAAAACGGATGGGTGTCACTGCGTATGTAAACATATTGCTGAAAACATGACATGCGTGCAACATCCGAAAGTGTATACATACTCATTTCTGTTTATAACATTTCTGTTTCTACTGAACTAAACAGCCTCTTTACTACACTTTCACTATTACACGATTTCACACCTTCACGACATTTTTTGTTTGTTTAGTTTTGATTTTGAGAATACGTGCATTCAACAAGTAAACCACATATTGATCTTGTCATGATAAAATAATAAGTTGTTTACAAATTGTCATTTTTTATAAATAAAAACCTTTATTTACAAAGTGCATTGTAAATGTTAAATAGATGATTAGAATACTAATTATCACTTTATTTACAGCTTGATTATATTGCAATACCGGAATTTTCTTGATTTTTTAAACATTTAAAAGGATGCCCATAGCGCACAAAGATTTTTAAAAAAAAGTTATTTCTTGTACTTTCCCTATTGTTGGTTATTATGTGGCTGAATAGATAGCAACAATTAAATTGTTCACAACAGAAATCTATATGTCTAACATTGATTAACTTAACATAGAATTAACAAAGGCATAATTGTTATAGTTTTATAGCATATTAGCCAATTTTCGAGTGGTCAACATATTTTTCGGTGTGAGATGAAAAAAGGTTTGCACAAGCTTATTAGGCGAGGTTCTTATCAAATATTACCGTGTGGACGAGTCACTAAATCTACATGCAATTAGTAGAAACTTGTTTTAATAATACCACAGCTTCGATGATTATAATGCATATATGTTAAGGTTTTGATATGATTGAGTATTGCTATTTCTTGTTGTGAAGCAGGAATCCTGGTACCCTTTAAAAAAGACTTGTCACCAGGTCTTCGCCCGTATGACCGAGTTCCTTTAAATTTCAAGTATTTCATTACTAGCTATACTTTAAATACTTACAATTTTTACAGTTGACATTTACAGATTTAACAGTTTCAATTAATGTCCCGTTCACTTCCTCTAACGTTTTGTTTTTAATTTTGTCGCAGCAAATATGTTTTATAATGGATGGACTATCATCTTTTAACTTTCCTGTAGCAATCTTTTCAATCACCTTCTTGTCAATCTATTAATAAACAAATACGTAAGTGTCAATTATAGAATTAATTAAACTGAAATGAATTATGATTAAGAACATTGTATGAAGTAAAAATGGTAGTTAATTCATGTGTCGGTTCAAAATAAACGCTAGGTTAAGATCATTCTACTAGATATTTTGTACTAAAAGATGAATTAATGTTACCAAATAGATTAGACGGGAAGTTGAATAAAGCTATTGAAGTAACTGACGGCTGCTCAATATTACATCGAGGAAAGTAAAATTGAAATAGAATACATGTTAACCCTTACTGCGCATTTAGTTTTGATGAGAAAATAAATATAAACATGAATAAATTTAAAGCGAATAAAATGTTCGTATTTAAATAGCTTTGCTCGATTTTTAATGTTAAAACACACACACAAAAAAATGCACGCTTGTTGAATTTCTAAATACTATTATTTTGAAAATGTTTTCTTACTTGTATTATAAGTTTTGTAAAAGGTTTAGTTATCACTTTCAAGAAGTCCATTTTCCCGCCTTTGGTCGTCTGCAGATCCATCGAGTCAATCATCAAACTGCTTATCTTTTCCAGATAGCCTAAATAACAAAGAAAACAAGAGTTCGTGATAATTGATGTTAGCACTATTAAGTGTTGAGAATTGAGAACCGTTCAAGCCGGTGCTAGGGGGCGTGAGGGATGTTGCACGTATTCATTATCCCTCATGTACAGACTCAATCAAAAGTCCCATGTTACTTCAAATATACAACTAATGTTAGGACACTTTTGAATTATAGTATGTATTTTTATACTTTATGTTTCCCCCCCAAAAAGTACAACTAGTGTTTGAACACTTTAAAATAATATTATATATTTATCATATTTTATGTTTCTTCAAAAGAACAACTAGTGTGTAAACATTTTAAATAATAGTATGTGTTTTAATACTCTAACGTCGTTATTCGTTAAATCCTGTTAAATTACACGGCTATTTTGGTCATGAAGTGATACTAATAACACAAAAATTACATAATTTATGTAGTTTTAAAGACTAACTTTATCGTTTTTAGAAAATATAGCTCATTATTATAGTGGCTGATTTGGTACGCTTTTGTACGTCGCGTTGGTGCGACAACACGACAAAGCGCCAAACGGCGCGTTGTCGCGCTGTCGTCTTTTCGTCCCGTTTCTAGCGCGGCACGCCGAACGGCGCGTATCGTGCGGCGTGTTGTCGCGATGTCACATTGTCACTCGGCTCAAGCGAAAGGGCGGATCGCGACAACCCGTCGCACGACAATGCGTAGCACGACAACGCGCCGTTCGGCGTGCCGCGCAAGAGACAGGACAATCAGACGACAGCGCGACAACGCGCCGTTTAGCGCTTCGTCGTGTTTTCGCCATCGACAGGACGACAAGACGAAAGTCCGACAACGGGCCGTTTGGCGCTTTGTCGTGTTGTCGCTAGCACCAAATAGACGCACAAAACAAAAGTGTACCTAATCAACCACCATACAATGATCTTTGCTTGCTCTTCAGGTATATTAAGATCGTCGTTTGTAATTAAATAAATATGCAACGTCGCATGCTGAAAATAAGCCATATTTTTTCTATTGCCTGTCTCATTAAAAATCAAATAAATGAACTCTTATATGATCTTTGAAATTTTATTTCGTTTTCCGAATACATGTATTACCATACACCGGAAATGACGGTCTCGGGTTATTTTGCACGAGCTTATGAAATGTTTTATGCTGTGATCAAATATCTTTAACATCCATTCATCTTTGATCACATGATCAGTAAAAATCATCATTCATTATTGGGACAGACTGACATTAAGTGTTTTGAATGACATACATTGTACATGTATAATATAAACCAGGAAATTCTATAATGAAGTTCAGAATAATTATGTCCATAAAGATATGCCATCATCATCGCCTTGTCATTAATATATGAATGAGGAAGCCTATATTCGCTGTAAAAAAACTTCTACCATTACCTACGTCAGTTAAATTTACAATGAATATGGAAAAAAGATCATTTACTTTTTGTAATTTTAAGTACTTGTTTTAATGTAACGGAAATGATATGTTACTGTTACTGTATCAATTAAAAATGATCAATCCAATACTAGTGATAGCAACTTAGTTTAAGTTATATACTATTATAATAATGTACAAGTTCAAATGTCCACGATAAAATTTTAAAAATGTTTCTTTTTTAATCACCTTTCTTACTATGATCAAAATAGCTTTGGTATGGTATAGGCAACTTAATTCTTTAATTAAAATATCGCGGTTTAAATATTAAAAACAATAGGAAGTGACGTAGTTTGGCAAATGTTTCAGAGTTTTGATGGAATTTATGCATTATATCATAAAAAAATATAAAAAAATAACGTAACGTCAATGTATATTTCCCGCCATCTTTAACATTGACGTCGTGTGACGTCACTTCCTGTTTATTCACTGACGAAGAACATAATAGTTCGAAATCGATATGAATAATAAAAAAATGAATGTACGCGTGAGGTTGGTCTTATTGGAATCATACATTATATCATATAAGGGATTCAAACGTCTGCATTTTTGTAAGCGGTTTTAAAGTTTTGATCACATGATAAAGTAAAATTCATTACTAATTGATAAGAAAGAAAAAAAACAACATTACTTTTATGTATTTAGCGGCAATGACATAATCATTTCAATAAGGACATTCAAAAATGAAATGAAATTATATAACACATGAAAGAAGGTGTCCTAAAATAAATTACATGAAGAATAGGGTCATTATATGATCGGCAAATCTTTGTTATTTTTATGTTATTAATATTGATATCATTAATATAGAACAATGTCCGATTGTTACCTGTTATTACTTCTAATGGTAAAAGAACAAGTACTGTCAACCAGTTGAACACATCATGTACTGTAGCTCCAGCAAATGCGCGTCTAAAGTCGTTCTTATTGGTGATCTGGCCAATTGAAACAATGGTGTTTGTAACAGAGGTCCCGATGTTTGCACCCATCACAATAGGTATTGCAAGTGATACAGAAAGCACTGTAAGAAAAATAAATGATATAACAAGTCGTTTATTGTTTCAAAATTAAAAAACTTGCGATTATTTTTTGTTTAATCTCTTTATGATCGAACCAGAAATAAATGCTAATTAAACTATAAATTACATAACTTTGACAGATAGACATACTTGTAATTAAATTCATTATTTATTAAAATTAAGCATGATGTTTCAATTTGTTCAGATATAAATGAGCCGCGTCACGACAAAACCAACGTAATGCGTTTGCGACCAGCATGGATCCAGACCAGCCTGCGCATCTGCGATCAGGATCCATACTGTTCGCTATCAGGTTTTCTACTTATAATAGAGTTTGTAAGCGAACAGCATGGATCCTGATCATTTGAGCCGCGTCACGACAAAACCAACATAATGCGTCTGCGATCAGCATGGATCCAGACCGGAATCGCAGGCTGGTCTGGATCCATGCTGATCGCAAACGCATTATGTTGGTTTTGTCGTGACGCGGCTCAAATGATGTTTTAATAGTACGATAAACTTCCGTGATTAATATGATTCTAATCATTAAGGCGGAGAATGGATATTAAAAATTCCGGATTGAATACTCACAATCGCCTCCTCCAACCATTGATACAACAATGGAAGTCGTGGTGCTTGAACTTTGTAACAACACTGTGGCCATGACCCCGATCATTAGACCGGCTACAGGGTTTGACAATATCTGGTTTTCGGCAAATGCTTGACCCGCCGCCTTACCTTTAAAGTTATCAAACATAGTAACAAGTTACAACAAGACATGGATTGTTATAATTATGTTCATATCATTTCTACATCCAGTAATATTAAGAGGATATTTTTTCGTTTGCGTGAAATATGTATTATATATTCTCACGAAACATGATAAAATGCCACATATTTTCACGAGCCGGTACGGCGAGTGAAAATATGTGGCATTTTATCATGTTGAGTGAAAATATATACCATATTTCACAAAAAACGAAAAAATAACCTTTTTATTTAATTTCATTATCAAAGAAAATGGTAACGAATCCCCATGCTTGCTACCAACTGCAGTAATGTACAGCGCGCAGTAATTTATGCGTAAGCACGCGCTGTTTGGCGCTACATTGTGACGTCATGTAAACAACTTTTTAAACGTCTGTACAGCGTTAATTACTGAATTAAAGATATTGGTGTTCGGATTAATTTTCTTAGTTAGACCATTTTCTATCATGCTAGATAGTTTTCAAAACAATATTCAAGAAAAAGTTGTTTTGTATTCATCAGATTTTTCAAACAAAACGGCGAAAGAAGTCCCTTAAAATAAATATGAGTTTTGACTCCGCCCACTTTCATATTTATATTTCATATTTATTTTTAAAAAATATGAAATATATTTGACTGATATAGCACCATATTTCATGGGTAAAATTAAATAATAACAAAGTTTAATGAACTAATTTCAGTAACGGTACAAAGATCATAGTATTAAGACACACCCTGTCATGAATAAGTATATATCAGTATAATTTTATATAATTATGAGTGTACTTATGACTTGGTACATTATCATTACCGGATTATAAATGCACTTAGGACTCGCTAAATTATCATGTCATTATCATGACTGGTTAGGTAATCAATACCGTAATATGCACTAATAATTACATTATCATTATCGAAATATAAGTACATTTGTACAATTATGACTGGTTAGGTAATCATTACCGGAATATGAGTGCAATGATGACTGGTTAGGTAATCATTACCGGAATATGAGTGCACTGATGACTGGTTAGGTAATCATTAACAAAATATAAGTGCACTTATAACTGGTTACATTAACATTACCGAAATATATTAAGTGCACTTATGACTAGTTAGGTAATCATTACCGGAATATAAGTGCATTTATGACTGGTTAAGTAATCATTACCGGAATATAAGTGCACTTATGACTGCTTAGGTAATCATTACCGAAATATAAGTGCACTTATAACTGGTTAGATAATCATAACCGAAATATCAGTGCACTTATAACTTGTTAGGTACTCAATACCGGAATATATGTGCACGTTTGACTGGTTACATTATCATAAGCAAAGTTTTGACTGATATAATTATCATTATTATTAAATAAGCTTATTTATGTATATATTTTGTGATAATGGCATGATAAACTGAGCTACTGACTGCCTTAGAAGAACTTTTAAGCAAGTTATCTTAAACTGTTTTCAACAAATATATGAATAATATTAGCCATTTGTGGTTGAGGGGTTGCCTTTAAGGGCAGGGGCATCAGAATTTCAGCCATCGTTTATCCCTGCGTGAGCATGAGAGGCGACGAAATGGGTTTCCAGCAGAAAAGGTGCTTTTGACACCTTGTGTTGCTTTAAGTTTGTTACACTCGAGGTTAGCCAAAATAATTTTTTTTCTGTTTCGGCATCATGTGATCGTGTTGGTGTGCCGTAAAACCAAACAAAAATATTTAACTGACATAGCCCCATATTTAAATGGTAAAATCCTAGACTATTCACGTTATTTATTGATAAAATCTAACTGTTTAGATGTTACGTATGTGCAAGATTTAATATTAATTTTATTACGCCTTTACATCACGTAACTTAATTTTATCTTACCCTTTATAATGCATTTAGAATATCGTTAAAGTTGACAATAAGGTAAATACATATATATTGAAATATTAGGTATGTTTTTGCTTCAAAGCAAAGAATGACAGTAACACCACATTCGAAACAACGAAGAAACACTTTTGGTATACAATTATAGCTTATGTTATAATATATTTACATAAAAAGCGGCAACTAAACTGCCACCTATTCAATCAATTTTCAAATTTTACAGTAGGTTTGACAAGGAAGTGAGAAATCTATATTGCTTTGAAAAAAAAGAAGATTTTATTGGATATGAATTAAATGCTTGCTTAATGTGTGCACATCAGACGCACTAGGTACGGAAGTGTATTTGGGACAATCTGGGACAATTTATATTGGCTATTTCATAAAATGTATTACGTAAAACGTATCGCGTCTTCTAAGTAATGTATCGTCTAAATTACCACTATGTATAATATATATGATTTGCTAACAAATTTCCTTTCAAAATCTTGTTTTCACTTAAAGAAACGTTTAAGGATGTATATTAAAGAAGTTTAGATGCTCTGAGCCAATGAAAACTTTATTGGACACTATAATGGACGCCTACATTTTCATCTAACGAAAAGTGTTTCTCTATATATTCATAAATAGACTGAAGCACTGTGTAGTAAAACAAATCTAGTTGACTAAGAAAGAAATCTGAACCAGACAAACTGCTCAACGATGTTCGGTTTGTTTTGGTCGGTTCTTACAGAAGTAACTCGGCATTGTTCAGCTATTTTTAAAGAACAGTCACGTGATTTATTTATCCTATCTAATTACTAATAGTTTCAATAACGTGTAATGTAATACCAGATAAAATTCCAGCATATAATTTTGAATGACATTATTTTGCTCAATCATGAAAATTATACATGCATATAAATAATATATATCGCAACCATGTTCTTATTATATGGTAGGTAGATTACAATTAACCACTCCTTGGATTTTATTTGAACTTTTATCAAAACAAAGCTATATATCTATCTGTAAACGAACAACTCTTGTTTACGATTTATAGTACATTTAGTGACAAAAATTATTTTGATGTGAAGTTACATTTATAGAAATATTTGTTTTTTCATTTCTATTTTTTGTTCTCATATGTTAACCAGGATGCAATTAGCTTGTTGAACATTCATCTCATTGGTTTATTTTGTTTACGAACATCACGTACACGTATAAAGATTTATCTATATCATAGAATAACATGCAGTTGTGAAACGCAAAAGTGAATGCATCACTAGGTATTATACTCGCATTTATTTGATCGTTAACATAACTAGCATGAAAAGAATCTAATCTAAATGAGAATCGAGACGAAATTGTATCTTAACCAATTTCTGTAATAACATTCTTTTGAAACATTCAAAACATTTTTTTTTTCAATTTGAACGCAGATATTTTGTACTTTTTTCATTTATGGTTACTTTAAATATAGCTAAGATATTTATTTGTTCTTAACTATCTGAACCAAAGCAAGATCATGAAAAAGATGATGTGTGAAAGCAATTAAAGCAAACATAAAATTTTAAACTGGATGTGCAACATTTCTTACGCTCCAAAAGTCGGGTTTAATAATCAACACTGAAAGTATTGGTATAATTGATCCTAAAGAACCAGAAATTATACCAACATTGAATTCAAACTGAATTTATATCAAAAATAATTATATCTTTCAAGTAGTCCAATTTTAAAAATGATTCATTATTTGAACGTTTTACGTGAACATACTTCATACAAAGGATTAAACAAATTAAAAGAAACAATTTTATTTCACACATTATAAGATATAACTATTTTACTTTCAGCGATTGCATAAAATGATGTTTCGATTCTACTGAACTCGTACACACCTGCAAAACCTATATCTGACTCGACTATCGTCTCGTTCAATATGGTTTTGATAGTCGCGTACTCGTTTAATAAAATTCATTAATAATTTACTTCTCAATATTAGGCACGTTTTCACTTCAAATGTAAGGCTAATATGAAGTTAACCACGACAACAAGACAATTATGTAAAAAGTACGGCCTTAATAAGGAAATTTGGCTGTTATGATATTGGAGAATTTTGATTGGCTTTCCAGCTCGGCCATGATGAATCTAATTGTTTTGTTGTTTTTTCATTGAAAAAAAAATCGCCATTTTGACTTGCTGCGAGACATTTTTAAAACAAGAATCTCATTTATAATACCTAACAATTCCGAAATTTTACATTACTTATATTTTGTTCACTAAGTATTGGGGCTTTAGACTTTCATATTAGCCTTCGGCCTTTGACCTCAGGCTAAAATGACAGTTTTCAGCCAAATAACAAGGTCATTATGAAAACATTTGATTCTTAACATTATAGTATTGTCCTCAACAATATATACTTAATAATTTCATGAAATGTTTTTCTAGAAGTGTTGCTAATAAAGAAATTGTCTATAAATAGGCGAATCATAAAACGTCACATGAACACATTTTTCAGCAGTTTGAGCACCAGAAAAAGTAAGCTTATTCGCATAGTTTCAATATAACCCGGAAAGGACAGTCATTTGATGAACTCTGTCCTAACGGAAAAAAACATTCCGTTGACGCAATGTAGTGGTTTCCTTTTTGTCTGCTATTCAGTTTTTTTATTGTAACTTAACTTGTACAATGGTAAATCAGGAATTATAGCGGCAGTATCTCATACTGCAGAAAAAATTCTGTAGAACAAGTTTGACTGGGTTCTTTACCAACCACAATATAAAGCTAGTATATCCAGTGTAAAGCTTTGTTTAAAATGTAACAAAAAAGAGAGATTCACAAAAGTTTATCTTACCTCCAAGTAGTTTGAATGCGTCACCAAGGAAACTCAATGAACAGATGAAGATGAAAAGGAAACCAAGAAGTAAGATTATCTTGCATATATAATGCCATAGAATCCTTTTGACTTTCCCGCCAGTCGACAATTCTATATCGAAGAATGAGAAATATATATTAACCTTTATTTAAAAAAAGCATTTTCTTATCTTCGAAAGATGCAAGATGTAAGTAATGATAGTTAAAAAACATTAATGAGCAGCATTATTTCAAATATATTCATTTAAGACCGATTGTGAAGCACATTCACGCAACTTACATTCATCATTTTCAAATCTGCTTTCTGAAAGTAACCAGTACTGGTGAAATATGAAAAATTTGATCGTGACTCAAGTATAGTGACTAACATTATTAGTTATAATTAAGAGAAACATAAGCATAATAACCAGTACCTGACCACGGAGTAAAGTCAACCTCTAGTTCCGGTAATGCCCAGACATCGTTTTCAGAACTTCCGGTCTGGTCAGCTACATCAACATAACTATCAGCCGTGTATGCGTCGTTGTCATACCCTTCATTTTTCTGCGGAAAAAAACGAAAACGAACTTAATGTTTGTCTTTTTTTCTTCTAATTTTACTCTAAATAAAGTATCTATTTATCAGTCTATAAATGAAATAATGCATCACATGCGCTGTAAATCTATGGATTATGGGCGCCAGTGGCAGAATGGTTAAGGTAATTGACTTCAAACAACCTACCCCTCACCGATGTGAGTTCAGATCCCAATAGGTACTTTCAATTTTTTCATGTGAGGAAGCTATCCAGCTAGCTTACGGAAAATCGGTGGGCTCTACTCAGGCGCCCGTAAGTACCTGAAATAATTGACGGAGGGGCACCTAAAGTCTTCGAACACCATTTAAGCAGGATAGTCGCCCTATATGATCTATACCATGTTGGTGAGGCCTAAAACCCAACCAAGAAAAAGTGATGAACAGCTTTACAAAACAGAAAAACAAAGCTGAAGTGTATCTATCATCACCTTACAGTGTTAAGAAATTGCTATAAATGGTGATTTATACTGAAGATCATGTCATTGAACATTTATTAACTTTGTATAACACGAATGTTACAAATATCACGACAGTTCATTGATGACTTAGCAATGCACTTGGGAAGGGTCATATCTGGCAAACTTAAATACAGTAATGCTTATATTTGATATTTGTGAAAAAAGGTTTATTTTGTGATATAAAGTGGCCTATTTGTGAACTGAGCGGTGACTTCTAAAGTTTATCATGTGTCTTCTGGCCTATAAGTACTATTCAAATAATACATTCAAGTGCTACTTTATCCAACAGTGGAACTAGACAGTCTCCAAATACAAACGGATGAAAAACTATTTGTCTTTTCCATTTCAGATTTTTCGACTTGTCGAAAATCAATCGCCATAGTTAACCTCTATTAAATAATATGAATAATGTAAAAGTGTAATATCTATACATAACAGAAACAAATATTTAAACAAAATATATTCTATATGAATTCGTTTTAAGCAAATAATTAACCAAATAAAACCAACCCCAATGTTAAATAAAGCTATATTGCATGTTTAATTTTATAATACAGACTATAACATATTTGTAGTTTGAGTTTTACTATGCTTTCCGATTTTATTTCTTTATGGGATGAACATTTAAGATATTACCATTTAATGTAACCACTTACCATACACATTCGTCGTATAATAATATTATTGACAAATAATAAAAGTATTTAATGTGGTTTATATTTACATATATTTTAGTTTTTTTTTGTGGTAGCAATAATTCATTCCCAATTAATATAAATAGATTTGACATAAGTCAAATGTTGTATGTATTTTGTTTTCTAAAGTGAAGTGAACTTAATAATAAGGTCCTCTATGTTATCTATCAATTTTGATCTATGTATTTACATTTGGATACGTTCAGATGTAGTGATATACCTTGTTATTATATGGAAAGTACAGAAATACTAATGATGATTTTGAAGGGCATGTGATAAAAAGTCTAACTTTGATGATCATATGTTTTCTTGTGCATATTACAAATGCATTGTCACCATTTGTTTCTCTCATACCACAATTATGATTGCCATAAATTACATCAATCATTATTGACGTTATAAATTATTTAGTAAGGCAAATATCGAGCATGAAGCGTATGTTTCGATATAGTTTGACGTAAAAAAACACACAAAAAAAAAAAAAACACAAAAAAAAAAAAAAAAAAAAACAACAAACAAAAACAACACACACACACATAAATTAATAAATAAGAAATGAAACAACCTCGAACCATGTATGGAGCCGTACATAGCTACTTTGGTTCCAAAAATTGCTATCTTACAATGCTAAAATCAACAAATTTACTGTTTCTAACTCGGTACCATATTTCATTCATGTCTACTTTGTTACCATTTATTGATGAGCTGGTACCATGCTATGTGATAATCAACTTATATATTACTACTTCCGTTCTATACATTGATAAAATGGTTTCAAATATTATAAAATGAATTAATTTTAATTGATAATTCGGATTCATATAAGGAAATATGGTTCCATATAAGGCTACTTTGTATCATATATTGAAGAATTTGATTTATATATTGAGAAAATTAACTTATGTATTGCTATCTTGGTTTCATACACTGACGGTATGGTTTCATATATTGTAACTGTGGACTAATATGATAGCTTCTGGTTTAATATGAAGGTGTTTTCATTCAAATATTGAAATGTTTTGCTAATTGAAACATGTATTAATATTCTGAGGAATAAAATATGTTTAAACTAAACTTATTAATATATAGTCGAAGTGAACTTGTATATAATCCACATGGTGAAATTAATTGAAAAAGAACAATATAAGACAGCAATGGCTTTCCATAGGAAACATACTTAATGGCCTTTCTTATACAGTGTAACAAATCTTCATCCTGGAGCATTATATGTACCTGCTATTATTAATGTATGTCAAGTGTATGTGATCTTTAACAATTGATTTAGTTCAAACAATAATAAGCGAATCCAATTTTTCTTACAGAACAAAAAAACCCAAGTAAGTAGAAAATAAAACAAACATTTATAAGGAATAGACGAACTAGAAAAAAGCTGTGAAATTTCAATAGATTCGATCTGTACTAACTAAAAGTCAATTCTGACTGAATTTTATAAATGAACAGACGGTATCTAGCAACAGTCAAGCTTCAAATTGTTTAACACGAAATGGAAGGAATTAAGACTGGTGATGAGGCGTTAAATTTCCGTAGAAAATGAAACGTGATTAATGTAGCAAGAAAAATCTGTAACTGGTCAGATAGTCCCTGAAAATTGACAACAGTAACAGAAACAACATATTAGATTTAATCATTCTTTAATTTGACATTCAGTTAAAATGTCCCTGACCCCATCCCACCCCCTGCACAACAAATGTGGAATAAGACTGGTCGTCCGTCCGGCTAGGGATTTGATTGATCGAAAATATTTTGATTGTTCGGAAAATAACTCAAGATGGATAAAGTTAAAGACCAAATATGTTTCCATACCTTTGGAGTTATTTCCCTTTATGATTATATATATTTAATGGTAGTCCGGAGTATTAATGAAAGAAGGAAGTATTGAAAGTATAAGATTGAAACTACATAGCTTGATAGCCCTTATTAAGGAAAAGTGTGCCTTTAAAAGACATGACTCTTTTATGCAAAACTTTTAATTACTGACATGCGTAATTTTAGATACTTAATTTTTTGTCGGAAACTTGGCTTGTCATATCTTTATGTAATATGAACTACATGAACCATAGTTTGAGAGGCTTGCCATATCTCTATGTTATATGAACTACATGAACCATAATTTGAGAGGCTTGCCATACCTTTATGTTATATGAACTAGCTGAACCATCAGTTGAGAGGCTTGTCATACCTTAATGTTATATGAACTAGCTAAACCATCAATTGAAAGGCTTGCTATATCTTTATGTAAAATGAACTACATGAACCATAATTTGAGAGGCTTGCCATATCTTTATTTAATATGAACTACCTGAACCATCAATTGAAAGGCTTGCCATACCTTTATGTAATATGAACTACATGAACCATAATTGGAGAAGCTTGCCATACCTTTATGTTATATGAACTAGCTGAACCATCAATTGAAAGGCTTGCCATATATTTATGTAATATGAACTACATGAACCATAATTTGAGAGGCTTGCCATTACTTTATGTTAAAAAAACCAGGAGAACCATCAATAGAAAGGCTTGCCATATCTTTATGTAATATGAACTACATGAACAATAATTTGAGAGGCTTGCCATACCTTTATGTTACATGAACTAGCTGAACCATCAGTTGAGAGGCTTGTCATACTTTTATGTTATATGAACTAGCTTAACCACCAATTGAAAGGCTTGTCATACCTTTATGTTATATTAACTAGCTGAACCATCAATTGAAAGGCTTGCCATATCTTTATGTTATATGACCTACATGAACCATAATTGGAGAGGCTTACAATACCTTTATGTTATATGAACAAGCCGAACCATCAATTGAAAGACTTGCCATATCTTTATGTAATATGAACTACATGAACCATAATTTGAGAGGCTTGCCATATTTTAATGTTATATGAACTAGCTGAACCATAATATGAGAGGCTTGCCATATCTTTATGTAATATGAACTACATGAACCATAATTTGAGAGACTTGCCATATCTTTATGTTATATGAACTACATGAGCCATAATTTGAGAGGCTTGCCATATTTTTATGTAATATGAACAAGCGGAACCATGATTTGAGAGGTTTGCAATATCTTTATTTAATATGAACTACATGAACCATAATTTGAGAGGCTTGCCATATCTTTATGTTATATGAACTAGCTGAATCATAATTTGAGAGGCAGGCCATATCTTTATGTAATATGAACTATATGAACCATAATTTAAGAGGCTTATCATATTGTTATGTTATATGAACTACATGAACCATAATTTGAGAGGCTTGCAATACCTTTATGTTATATGAACTAAGGGAACCATCAATTGAAAGGCTTGCCATATCTTTATGTAATATGAACTACATGAACCATAATTTGGGAGGCTTGCCAAACCTTTATGTTATATGAACTAGCTGAACCATCAGTTGAGAGGCTTGTCATACCTTTATGTTATGTGAACTAGCTTAACCACCAATTGAAAGGCTTGCTATACCTTTATGTTATATGAAGTAGCTGAACCATCAATTGAAAGGCTTGCCATATCTTTATGTAATATGAACTTCATGAACCATAATTTGAGAGGCTTGCAATATCTTTATTTAATATGAACTAGCTGAACCATCAATTGAAAGGCTTGCCATATCTTTATGTAATATGAACTACATTAACCATAATTTGAGAGGCTTGCCATACCTTTATGTTATATGAACTATCGGAACCATCAATTTAAAAGCTTGCCATATCTTTATGTAATATGAACTACATGAACCATAATTTGAGAGGCTTGCTATACCTTTATGTTACATGAACTAGCTGAACCATCAATTGAAAGGCTTGCCATATCTTTACGTAATATGAACTACATGAACCATAATTTGAGAGGCTTGTGATACCTTTATGTTATATGAACAAGCGGAACCATCAATTGAAAGGCTTACCATATCTTTATGTAATATGAACTACATGAACCATAATTAGAGAGGCTTGCCATACCTTTATGTTATATGAAACAGCGGAACCATCAATTGAAAGGCTTACCATATCTTTATGTAATATGAACTAGCTGAACCATAATTTGAGAGGCTTGCCATACCTTTTAAATAATACGTTAAATGAACTAGATGAACCATCAATTGATAAACTTACAATAAATGTATAAATCTATTGATGTACAAGGTTCATTCTCTTATATAATACAGAATTAATCATATCTTTGACACAGATGTAATTAATAAGCAATAAATTGGGAAAAGTTTTATTCACGAAAGACAGTTAAATTCATATAAAGGCGGATTTGTTATAGCAACAAAACGGTTTATGATCTTTCGGGCGATTTTATTGCCGAAAAATTTGACTTCATCAATGAATGTTCACTTGAATAAGAACATTTTTGTGACACGAGTTTCCTTGATTTTAACCTTAGACAAACAACGTTAAAGTACATTAATTGAAATTTTGATCTGCAGATTTGAGTAAGGACGGACTCCTCTACCTTTGATTCATTGACAAAGGAAAATAAACTAGAAGTCAACAAATCACATTTCTTTGTTGCGTTGATGAGATATGCTTCTGCCTTGTCAATTTTAGAAGCTGCTAATTATCAAACTCCAAAATTGTTTAAAAATATACACACACAAACATGTGTAATTATTGTCATGGTAAAATATATACTTGGTGTAAAACTATCATTATGTTCTTGCATTTGTCTAGAGATACATTCCACTCTTATAAAAATTTAGTGATATTGGCCTTTAATCTTCAAAACGTTAAGACCAGTTGTATCAAGTTTCGAGAAATGTGTCATTTTTATTCATTCTCTTCATATCCTTACCTCGTTCTGCTTTATTTTATCAAATTAACGGGATATACGTGTGATACCCAGAGTTTAGCAGTACTTAGGTACTTTCATCACAAAACAACTTTGAACCACATGCACCCATCCTATCATGTCCGTTTCAAAATCATTTTACGTGGGTAAGCATTCTCTAATTACCAAGTAGGGAGAATTTTAAACCAGTCGTTTGTTTTACAAATTATAAACGTTTGTATGATATATAATAAATATAATAAAAAATAACCTGCGTAAGATATTTTATTACGTCTTAGATGTCATTTTAATAACTAGAAATTGCTTGTTTCGTACAACAATGAATCAAATGTTAACAAGAATGATTTACATGACATGAGCCGCGTCACGACAAAATCAACATAGTGCGTTTGCGACCAGCATGGATCCAGACCAGCCTGCGCATCCGCGCAGTCTGATCAGGATCAATGCTGTTCGCTATCAGTTTCTCTACTTGTAATAGGGTTTGTAAGCGAACAGCATGGATCCTGATCAGACTGCGCGGATGCGCAGGCTGGTCTGGATCCATGCTGGTCGCAAACCCATTATGATGGTTTTGTCGTGACGCGGCTCATATGTATAATGTACTGACACGAGCAAGGACAAGAAGACACTACGTCTACAGACGACATAAAAATGTCGTTCATACATGTACATGGTGTGGCATATGACGAGATATACAAGTTAGGAGATAAATAGGAACACATTTTATAGTTTTGCTGTAAAAGGGTGTAAAAAGATACAATAGTATATACAAATAAAAGATAAAAATAATAATGATAAACCCCGAAATGACTAAATATTTATAGTTATTTTAAAAGCAAAATAAGTAAATAAATAAATAATAATAAATAAATAAAGTATAGATGATAAATATAGTGAATTAATGTCAAGAATAATAAAATAAATAAATGATACAAAAAGAATTATAAAAAGAAAACAACATATGAAAATATATCAATTCCGAACGATTTCTAGTACATACTTTACTTATAACATATTCATTCACGTTATTTTATGTCTTAATTCACCTTTTGAAGTTTTATAAAAAAAAAACGATTTCTAGTTCTTTTTCCCCAGTGTTTTCTTATTGCACTACCAGAATATCGCTAGTAAACCATTTGAATACTAAGATGGAATACATTTATCAGATTACAATTTTCAAAAAGATGTAAATTTAATTTATATATAGTTGTTTAAAGACAGGTAGTTGTCTAAATCAGGCCTTATGATAAATAAAAGAATAATTTATTATTTATTATTATTTATAGTTTATAATGTATTTGCTCTTCAAATCACAAGTTTTTTTTATATCCCTTATTAATCATGTACACAAGAACATTTTAAATGTTACCATCATTTTATTACAGCCAACTTTGTTGCCTTAATTTCATCTAGGATAAATACATCAACGTCCATATGATTTTAATTTATACCAGTAACAGTTTACAAACGTTCTAGTCACATCTGTTACACCCAAACGTTTTTTTTTTCGTATATACGACTTGCTCTAAATATATATAAAAAAAAACAACAAAAATATCACCTCTTTTCTTCTGTTATCCATTATCAATGTCTTCAAATTCAAACGCACATAGCCTAACAGCCTTCAAAAGATTGAAATTATTTCACTGACAACTTTATATCCTTCTGCTAATCTTATATTAATAAATCTTAATTGGTGTAATGTGTCCTTTCACTTATAAATGCGCAAAATATTAAATGAAATGCAACCTGTAGATAAGACAAAGCCCGTTTTTCATCGCGGTTTTTTACTGTACGTCAAGAGGTTGTAAAGCGACATTTATTATTACATCGCCGTCGGCACTTCTGTGACAGCTTAAATACAGATGTACAATTCCAAATATAACTTTTTGTGACAATCCTAGCACTCATGTCATTTTTTCGTATATTAACCCTTCACTTCTTTGATTATGGATTTAAGCTGAATTTCTTTAAAAGAGCCGCGCAACGACAAAACCAACATAATGGGTTTGTGACCAGCATGGATCCAGACCAGCCTGCGCATCCGCGCAGTCTGATCAGGATCCATGCTGTTCGCTATCAGTTTCTCTACTTGTTATAGAGTTGGTAAGCGAACAGCATCGATTCTGATCAGCCTGCGCATCAGCGCAGGCTGGTCTGGATCCATTCTGGCCGCAAAGCCACTATGTTGGTTTTGCCACTATGTTGGTTTTGTCGTGACGCGGCTCATTAAAGATTTCAGTTGAGTGCATTGTCAATAATTGCAAACACACTCACGACATTGGGTTATGATGTGTTGTTCTTTTTTTTTTTAAATCATGGTCTGTTTTATATCTTTCTACTATTTTGGCTTTTGGCACATCAGTTGTGCTCCTAATATATACTGTGTATTTTTCTTATCCTTTTTCTTCTTATTTTCTTTCCCATGAGCGTAGTTGTATGGGTATGGTGTATGGATGGTGTATGGTTAAACCCGGACCAAGGTTTCCTTTATATATTGGCTTCATTTTTTTAAATCTTACACATTGCTTTAAATAATATATTTTTGACAATGATATTTTACTCGTCATTTTTGTCTTAAACAAGTTTATGAATTTATAACTACCATCATGACGACGGCGGGATGACGTCATACAAAGCACTTGAACCATCTTGCACCGACATCGGTGAAAATATCGTTTGATTTGTAATGATAAACAAGGAGAGTACGGAATTCAAAAAGTCAGTTTTTATGACTTTTTTTACAATAAGTGTCACATAGATGCCTTCTGCAATTTACCGTTACGAGGTTTGGCATACGCCTCTTTATATGTCCGAGAGAACGATATATCTTTTAACCCCACAATAAGTGTTCTCTTAATTAAGTGGAAAGTCAACACTATCATATTAACAAAATTCTCTATTTTGTAATGCAGATCAGCAATGATACACTGAAATTAAAAAAAGTCCTCTTTCTAAGATCAAGAAAATTACCGATCTTGAAAAGATTATAAGGATGTAACATGGCCTGCTGATACAGATCGGAATAGGTAACTGATTACAGCGGTAAGAAGGCTCTGAAAACAAATTTTTTATATAGTTTTTTTCTAATAATTAGCGTATGAATTTACATCTGCATTCATATAGGCAAAATGATTTCTACCAACGCCGTTCATTCATCATAGTCGGTTACCCACGGTATATATTCCGTATATTAGATAATATAGTATGTACGGAATATATACAGTACCGTGGGTAACCGACGATGTTCATTCATAAATGACGCACGATAATGACGATATTTAAAGCAAGCCACTTTTCTTACCCGGGGATGTAAGACAGGGTTTTCTAACACCTGTTTAAACAGCAGATGCTTCTATCTCAAATGCAAGAAAAATGGAAGGTGTCCACATGAAATAATTGTTACAGTGAATGGAAAGTCAAAAATACAACCAATTCAGAAGCGCACACTTTTCGTTCCGTAGTTGTCATGATAGACCTAGGTCAAAACTGCTAGAAATTTATTAAAATAATTCGCAAAAATTATTATATTTTTTAGTGTTTTTCTTAATACATCGTTCTCAAATATGCATAACGAAGCATGAACTTAGAATAACTTTCCTTTTAAATCATAAGTATACATACATGTAGAGAATATCAAGGCCGAACCAATATCGAGAAATTAGTTATAATTATATAAGCTGTGTGCTCCGAAAGATTTTATAGATTTCATTTGATAGGCTAGAATAAGCTGATGTGACCCATGTGTACCTCATATCGGAACCATTTACGTAGTTGTTTTGATTTGTTTCTTTTTAGAAAAATTTGTCCTAAATCTATGAAGTGATATTTTGTGAACTTTCAAGTTATTTTTTATATTGTAACACGTTTCACATTTTTTTGCCATCAAATTTACACTTATACAGAACAATGTTATATACTTTATAGTATTAAAAAAATAAAAATAAAAGTTCTTATTTTGGTGTTGACATGAACGGGAAATACGTCAAACAAATTTATCTTAAAAACCTGATACTGAAGACAGCTTGTAACTACACAAGGTGCAACTGTGCGGTTTATCTGATCTCAAACTAATTTACAATATATTTGAAACAGGTGGTGTCGTTTTTCTGGCAAAAAAAAAATAAAATAAAAAAAAATATTTGATTCTTCACATTTTAAATTTAGTCCATTTCTTCGAGTAGTTACATAGATATCGTTGAAAAAACTGATTTCATGTTTGTCTTTAAGTAAATATGTTTTGGAACTTATGTATTCAAGAAGAATAAAATGGTGAATTCATGATGTAGAGTTAATATATCAACCCTATTTTCATTAAATGATGTGTTAAGTGAAAAGATATTATCATAAAAATTCATTTTAAGTAAAATTTACATACTAAACAACGGCGCAATTTAAACAATACACTTTTATAGACGTTATTAAACACTTCCTTTATTGAATTCGTTTTGCTGTTGTCTAATTTTTCATAATTATATTATCATAATGTAAACAAAGTTAAAGTTCAAGCAAGTGTTAGATTGTTTTAAACTTGACAAGTCACAAGCAACGTTTTAACATAATGTTTGTGAGCGGAAACCACCATGATTCAAGTAATACATCAACATTCACTTTAGATAATGTTTTTCGTTGTATACTTGAGGACGTTGTATAATGTAAGATCTATTATCATTAATTAATTTCATTAAGAACCTAAATTAAGCACGAATGAATTAAAAACTGAGTGAAGAATTTACAATCTTGAACGAATCAAATGCAAGTAAAAGCTATATATTCAAATAAAAAGCATTGGATATAAGAAGGGTCATTGTCCTTTTATTCTTTTTTTTGTTTTTTTTACAGGGCCTTGTATTTTGCCAATATATAATGTTTGAAATCACTAATGGATTTTTGGAAATATTACACCTGTCTTCAACTTGAAATAGCTTCTTTGCTTCTGATCAACTTAACTTCTACATATCGCATCACGTCGTTTTTGGACTGTCTCTACGGCAAGCTGAGGTGTCAGTCAGTCTGCCATAAAAAAAAAATGATACCCACTGCTTAATTTCATGTTGTTTTTTTTTTTCATTTTTTTTTCAATTTTAAGAAACAATGAAACTGTAATGATCATACGGTGGCGACTCTCAGCATAACTAAAAATCGATTACTATTTTTATAGTAGCGTGTTTATTTACAATTTCATTTTTAACGGCAGCATTACGTCATATTTAGATCGCAGTTTCATTCTAAAATGCGCCGAAGTAACGTCTTCATTGTGGACTATACGACTTTACAAGTACGAAATTTTAAGCATGGGTGAAAATTACGGAAATATCAATCTGAAATGCAAGAAAAGACTTAGGAAACTAAACACATAACTCAGTTACTACAACAAGTTCTTATTCTGTTCATTCTTTATAACAATCAACATTTGAATACTTAAGTTCTGATTTGATTAAGCTTGAATGTAGTAACAAATTACTAAAGTGGTAACATTTCTTTCCCTTTCGCATTGCAGCTATTTTCCCGCTCATTATGTTGCACATATCAACACCAGGAAAGCAAATGAAATGATAATAACATTCTATTAATACAAATTAGACAACTTTTTTGGAATGGAATTTTTGAATATAAAAATTCTTTCGTCAAATTTGGCATACTTTTTCTTTTAAATTTCAACCATATTTATCTCTAAGTATGTACGGAATTCGTTTAATAAACCAATGAACTATAAGTAAATAGAAATCAAAATTAACACTCATAGAATGCATCTCGGCTGTTATTTCTACTCCATTCCTCTTTTGATGTCACGCTAAATGTTGTTTTGAAAATGACATTAATTGCCCAAAGGAACATACTTGTCATCAGTGCTAATTTAACACAGGCTTTTTATGAGTCACCATTGTATACTTGACACTTACTATAGGCCTCGTGATAAATCTTTCGATTTTCATATTGCTACTTGTAAACATAGATGAAGCATTCTGCATGCGACATTTGCCCGGGAAGCAATCCTTCACTTTAAAAATAAGATCAATATACAAAAGTGAAATATGTCAAAATTAAAATAAAAACTGATTTATTCAATGGTAAAACGTTTAAGAGCTCAACAGAATATATGTCCTCATTTAATAGTTCCGCTTATGTTTTGTTTATTACATTGAACGCATGTAGATCAGCGCAAAATCTATAAATCTATGAATCGAAATTATGGAAAACAAATTACATTGTGGCTTTTAATAAATAGGTGCTACTTAAAAAGTTGTACTTTTTTCATATAACTTTAAGGTGCTTTATGACGGCCGGTGTAAGGAAAAACAATGCCATATGTGATTAAATGGTCAGTGAATGACCTTATTTATTTTAAACATAATGAATTATATACAACATATATCATTAACACACATACATAATTTTAAACATAGATAACTATATACATGTACATCAAACATATTCGTATAAGTTGATATATAAACAATTTTGTGACTATCGTAAAAATGATGTTCCTTTAACATAAACAAATAAAAATGTGGAGGTTTTCTTTTGAAAATGGCCAAAAGATAGGGCTTACTGAGACCTATCTCCGCCACATTTCTTACATGAAAAATGTTAAAAACATAATATGTTTGATAATTAAAAAACATATGTGACGAGATTAAGTAGAAAAAGAATATCTTATTAATCCGTAAGTGCAAAAGACTAGAATATTGTCATTACAAATATTTTGTAAGCTTTGAAAAATATCCACTGCTAGCAGCACCAAGATATGATTTAACATATGTATGATATATATATTGCATTCATAATAAGGTACTAGCCCCTGCAAGTAGCTTAAGAATGGATCACCAAATGACGAGTTATGTATAAAACTTTATGCCATAAATAACCCTTTAATATTATCATTATAGACTACAAGTCTGTGAACATAAAATACTAGAATATTTCCATAACAAACATTTGTACATAGTTTTGAGAAATATCAACTGCAAGCAGCTGCAAAATGAATATTTACAGGTATGATATATAGAGTACATTCGTGTATGCTACTAGCCCGTGCAAGTAGCTTTAGAATGAATCACCAAACTAGCACTGTATGGAAATCATGACCCATATCATCTTTTAATATTACCATTATAGACTACCAGTATGTAAATGACTAGAATATCTTCGTTACGAACATTTGTACATAGATTATGAAATATCAGCTGCAAGCAGCACGAAAATGAATTTTTTATCTACATTGATGATATAAGAATAACTTCATCATAAACTACTAGCCCCTGCAAGTAGCTTAATGAATCACGAAATATTGCGCTAATTATAAAAAATCATTACATGTAAAATCATTCATATAGGCTACCAGCCCCTGCAGGAAGCCGTATATGAACATTATAGATACAGTCATACTGCTAAGACAAGTTTTTATTAGCTACAAGCCCCTGCAAGTAGCTTTCATTAATGGTTGATAGGCCATATATAATAAGGTAACTGGTAATTCTGGGCGAAGGCCATAATACAAACCGTAAAATATAATATTCGGTTGTTTTTTCAACACTCTGTTACTCTTATGTATTTGCGAAAGCGTTACTATTCCATCTTCCTAAAAACGTATTTTTGCGTCAGAATAACCTCGTGAGCACAATCAGTGGCTTTACCTATTCTAAAACTATGTGATTTATACCTATCACTATTTATGCCACAAAAAACTTAAAGGGGATTTGAGCTGTTTGTCAAATAATTTTTCCTGGGTACTGGTTGACCAGAGGGTAATGAAATAGGGGGGCCTGGGGATTGACCTCGCAGTGCAATGTAGTCATGCATCGCTGTAATAGCAGATGTCTTTGCATGACCATGTGTGAAAAGGTGATTGTGTGAGGTTTACCGCAGTTATGTTTGTAGAAGCGGTATGTTACTGACACAAATGATTGACCTGCATCTGAAATAAAATTCATATCTGATAATTTAAAAAAATGGCTCTTTGGATGGTTTGCACTTAGTGATTTCACTGCATCTCGCAAATGCGTTAAATGCAAAGAGAAACATGTCTGAGAACAGTTTCTCATGGAAGTAGGATTGACTTGTAATTTTTAAAGCTGCTAGCAGCTTGTCCAAAATTGTAGTAGTAATTGGTAGTCGTAGGTCAAAAGACAGAGACAAACGTTGGGTACCTTTGCTCAGTGTAGATATCAAAAAGTGTTTAGTGGGGTCATATTCTCCCGAATGGTTATGGACATACTAATGCCTGAAGGTAGGTACAAATAGACTTTGAAGACATTGCTTTTTTGGTGTAGAAAACCCACAAATAAGGCTATAACTGAGACAGATATGGGAAGTGATAAAGGAGCTTCAAAGTATGAATTGGTAAATGTTTGAAAAAGAGTCCAACTTCTTTTGTACGTTTCTAAGGTGGATGGAGCAAGAGAAGCATTCAACAAATTTTCAACCCCTTGCAAAATGTCTGTGGTTGAAGCTGTGGGCTTATTTTTGTTGGATTTGGCTTGCTGAATGTGGCCAGCTGCTTGAACTTGTCTATCTGAAAACGAGAAAGCGCATCTGCTATACAATTATCTTTGCCCTTCACGTGCTTTGCTAGGAAGACAATATTTTGCTGAAACAATGCAATACTAATTTTCTAAAATGAAACATTATACATGTGACCTTTGATGTCTGTTTATTGATAACAGACACCAATGCTTCATTATCTGTATAGAATACGACGGTGTGATTCCGCCAAAGATGTGCCCACAGATAAACTGCAGTTACAATGGGGTATTGTTCTAAAAATGTTATATTTGCTTTGTGCCATGATTGGGGAAATGCTCCGTAGAACCAATTACTTTGGTAAATGCCGCCAAACCCGAAGCATCTGTATGTAAGCATAAGCTATCACTGGATAGCCTTTTTCATTGATGAAAAAAGAATTGCCATTGAAATTTTCAAGGAAATTTAACCACATTTTCATGTCTTCCTTTGCCGAGTTTCTCAGTTTGACTTTATAATGTAACTTTTTTACTCCAATTGATAAGTTTATCAAACGTCTAAGAAATGCTCTCCCCGGTGAAATGACAGAGCATTCAAAATTAAGAAGGCCTATTAGGGAGAGAAGGGTTCGGAGTTGGCAAGATTGTTTTGAGCATAGATCTTGTAGAAGCATAGACGCTTTTTTGAGCTTTTCTTGTGGGAGACGGGCTTCCATGGCCGTGGAGTCTAAAGTGATGCCTAAAAAGACCATGCTTTTTGAAGGCAAGAACGTTTCTTCCTTATTGAGTGGCACATTGAGCATTGCACACATTTCACAGAAAGCATTGAGTGAGGCTAAAGCTTCTGAATAAGTAGGTGCAAAGAACAAAAAGTCGTCAAGGATTTTTACTATATATCTTATTCCGAATTTGTTGTAAGCTATCCATTTAAGGGCTGTACTGAAAGTCTCAAAGATTTGACAACTTGAAGAGGCTCCCATCGGGAGGCATTTATCATAGTAATATCCACCCTCCTATTTAAAGCCGAGTAAGCTATAATCAGATGGATGTATTGGTATTTTTCGGAAAGCTGAACAAATATTGGGTTTGGCCATATAAGTGTGTCTCCCTAGCGATTTAATGATTGATATCGCATCATCAATGTTTTCATATGAGACCTCTGTGAAATCTGATGGTATTTGATCATTGACTGAAGTACCTGTATTGCGTGGGTATGACAAATGATGGATCATTCTATACTCCCCTTGTTCTTTCTTTGGAACAACTCCGATTGGGGAGATTTTAAGATTGTTAAATGGCTTTTCTGAAAACGGACCACTGATTCTATTAGCTTTAAGTTCCTTAACGATCTTAGTGGCTATCATCTTGGGGTATTCGGCAGCAGACTTCAAATTTGGACTGTCTGTGCTGATTCGTTGACCTTGAAAATTGAGTTTAAAACCAAGCTGAAACCCGTTTTTTGATATATTGTCTCCTTGTATAGTCGTAACCAGAAAGAAGATGATGTAATATATTCCATTTAACTGGTGTGGGTAACGAAGAATTATCTTTTGAGGGAAGAGTGGGCCTGGTTAGATCTGATTGTGTTTGGTTGACTTTGTGGAGGTTTAGGCCCTGATTGAGTTGTATCGGCTGGACGTTTCCAGCATTTGAAGAGTGGTGATTTCCGTAGGATCCCTTGCATTTATGTGCGTAGGAGCATCCAAAGCATCTCAGTCCCCTGTTGAATTTATGACAAGTTTGTCTTGACTGGCCAATTTGTGGGCCATTGGAAAGAAAGGGCTGTCTCTGATTTAATGCCTTTATATATAATTCATGGTGAATAGAGTCCCAAGCTAAAGGATGACTTTGACGTTACTGACGGAATTAATTGTCGTAATAATAATGCCAGTTACCTCTAGCTTTATAGTGTTACTGTACTGAGCGAGAGGTTCAGCAGACTCGGGATACCTTTGTCTGTAGACAGAGGCAAACACAGCGGACAGATCTGTCCACTGTTCAATTGATAGAAACTTCCGGGGCTGAAGAGGGGTTACGGCTTGAATGCCTGCCTTAGTGACAGTAATGTTGAGCAATTCATCCTGTTTGTTGAACACAGATGATAGATCTACAAATTCATTAGCCCATATTTTTTCCTTAACTTTTAAAGATACTGTTGCATGTAACGGGATAGATGGCGACGAATGAAGAGAAAGGTTCCCAGAAATACCAATACCTATATGACCGTGTTGATGGTCAGAGTTAGAAGTTGAATTAGGCATCTCGGGCTGTGGCAATTCCAGAACCGGCAAATTTTGAGAAGCATTTGTGTCCGTCTTATCTTTCCCCAAAATGTCTTGAATTTTTTTATCAACCATAGCCTCCAGCTTGGTTGACAATGTGTCAACAATTTCTTCAATTTGGTCGACATCCATAGAACTTGTTGAAGGTTGATGCGTAGATGGGCGTCGTGACTCCTTGTTCCTCGTGTTATGGTGGGTGATAGTTTCCGTAGCCACAGCATTGTCGTTTGTTTCTGTGACAGACGTTGCCCTATTCTCAGTTTGATTGTGTTTTTGTTTCCTCCCCGTTTAGTCGAAGTCACGATGGCATTTTTGTTCCTGAAATTTAAGTATTATGTATAAACTTTAATGGAAGTAAAACAATCATGTCAATTATATGAGGAATGCAAGCCACATCTTAATTAAACTGATATATAAACTTTATATTTGATAATGTGTTCAGGTGACTGAACGCAAATGAATAATGATAAATCCCTTAAAATAATGTACATGTACAATTTATCACTTAAAATATGTACATGTACAATTAATCACTTAAAATATGTACATGTATAATACTCGAAAATTATTGTGAAATAATAGTTAAAATGTATGTAACGTGTATGTCTATGACATTTACATGTCATGATCAAAAATTGCAGTGTAGTGACTTGCATCTCCACTTATAATAGAAATATAATAGTTTATAATATAGATGAAAAGGGTAGACTGAGATTACACGCTAATTATTGGTGTAATGTTTTAGAGGCATCTGATTTTATTTTTGACGTAGTGAAAAATGGTTACGTCATACCTTTTAACAATATTCCTCAATCATATTTCATGAAAAATAATAAATCTGCGTTTGACCATTCAGATTTTGTAACTGACGCAGTAGCAGATTTAGTTAAGTCTGGCTGTGTATTGGAAGTGCCTTTTCAGCCTTTTTAGCTCACCTGTCACAAAGTGACAGGGTGAGCTTTTGTGATCGCTTTTCGTCCGGCGTCAGTCCGTCGTCCGTCCGTCCGTCGTCCGTCCGTAAACTTTTACTTTAAATGACATCTCCTCATAAACCACTAAGCCAATTTCATCCAAACTTCACAGGAATGTTCCTTTGGTGGTCACCTTTAAAAATTGTTCAAAGAATTTAATTCCATGCAGAACTCTGGTTGCCATGGCAACCGAAAGAAAAAACTTTAAATAGCTTCTCTTAAAAAACCCCATACGCTAGAGCTTAGATATTTGGCATGAAACATCTTCTAATGAGTGTCTACCAAGTTTGTTCAAATAAAAGCCCTGGGGTCAAAATTGGCCCCGCCCAAGGGGTCTTTGATTTTCCCTATATGCATATAGTAAAAACTTAAAATATCTTCTTTTAAAGAATCCAAAGAGCTAGAGCTAAGATATTTAGCATGAAACATCTTCAAGTGAGTGTCTACCAAGTTTGTTCAAATAAAAGCACAGGGGTCAAAATTGGCCCCGCCCCAGGGGGTCTTTGATTTTCCCTATATGCATATAGTAAAAACTTAAAAAATCTTCTTTTAAAGAACCCAAAGAGCTAGAGCTTAGATATTTAGCATGAAACATCTTCTAATGAGTGTCTACCGAGTTTGTTCAAATAAAAGCCCTGGGGTCAAAATTGGCCCCGCCCCAGGGGGTCTTTGATTTTCCCTATATGCATATAGTAAAAACTTAAAAAATCTTCTTTTAAAGAACCCAAAAAGCTAGAGCTTAGATATTTAGCATGAAACATGTTCTAATTTGTGTCTACCAAGTTTGTTCAAATAAAAGCCCTGGGGTCAAAATTAGCTCCGCCCCAGGGGGTCATTGGTTTTCCCTATATGCATGTAGTAAAAACTTAAAAATCTTCTTTGGAAAAACCCAAATAGCTAGAGTTTAGATATTAAGCATGAAACATCTTCTAATGAGTGTCTACAAAGTTTGTTCAAATAAAAGCTCTGGGGTCAAAATTGGCCCCGCCCCAGGGGGTCATTGATTTTCCCTATATGCTTATAGTAAAAACTTAAAAAATCTTCTTTTAAAGAACCCAAAGAGCTAGAGCTAAGATATTTAGCATGAAACATGTTCTAATTTGTGTCTACCAAGTTTGTTCAAATAAAAGCCCTTGGGTCAAAATTGGCCCGCCCCGGGGGTCATTGATTTTCCTTCTATGTATATAGCAAAAACTTTAAAAATCTTCTTTGAAAAAACCCAAATAGCTGGAGTTTAGATATTAAGCATGAAACATTTTCTAGTGAGTGTCTACAAAGTTTGTTCAAATAAAAGCCCTGGAGTCAAAATTGGCCCGCCCCGGGTGTTATTGATTTTTACTTATATTTGTATAGCAAAAACTTAAAAATCTTCTTTGAAAAAACCCAAACAGCTAGAGTTTAGATATTAAGCATGAAACATCTTCTACTAATTGTCTGCAAAGTTTGTTCAAATAAAAGCCCTGGGGTCAAAATTGGCCCCGCCCCAGGGGTGTCATTGGTTTTAACTATATGTTTATAGTAAAAACTTAAAAAATCTTCTTTTAAAAAAACCCAATGAGCTAAAGCTTAGATGTTTAGCATGAAACATCTTCTTAGGGTGTCTAAATAAAAAGCCCTTGGGTTAAAATTGCCCTGCCAAGGGGATGGGGGGGGGCGAAAAGGAGGGGGGGGGGTAGATTGTTGTTTTTCATTATATGTGTGTAGTAAAAACTTAACATCGTGAAACATCTTCTAATGGGTGTCTTCCAATTTTGTTCAAATAAAAGCCATGTGGTTTAAACTGGCCCCGCTCCGGGTGCCTTTATACAGGTGAGCGACCTCAGGGCCATCATGGCCCTCTTGTTTGGTAAACCCTATTTCAGTGTCTATGAGTTCGGGAAAAAAGCGTTTAATTTTGGATTTAAGTGTCATGATACATTTGTTAAGAAGGAACATTTTAAATTTGAGGACTGGAAGGTTGCGTCAGATTATTTGTTAAAGGATGGTTTTATGTTTAAATTTGACATTTCATCTGCATATCACCACATAGATATAGCCACAGCACAACACACTTTTTTTGGATTTTCATGGAGTGAGAACGCTGAGCTTAAATATTATGTTTTTACTGTATTACCTTTTGGTTTGACGTCGCACCGTTTATTTGGACTAAATGTTTAAGATCTATTGTAAAATTCATTCGTCTTCAGGAAATCATATTTTTTTTTGTTTTTAGATGATGGGTGTGGAGTAAAATAAAATGTTTGAATGTACTCTTAAAGATGCTGATTTTTGTTAAAGATGGGTCCTCATCAAAGCGGATTTTGATCAATAAACTCAGAAATCGATATTAAGACTCCAGTTCAAAATTTTTAGAATGGTTAGGCTTATTATGGAATTTAAAGATAATGTTTTAGAAATTCCCGATAGGCGTGTGAAAGCGTAGTAACAGGTATTAGTTTATCAAGGTAAATTTCCTTTCGTGTCTGCGCGAGATATGGCAAGGTGTATTGGTAAAAAATCATTTCACTGATTCAAGTATTAGGAAATGTGTGTAAGCTCATGACCAAAAATCTTCACAGAGCTATTGAATGTAGGATTAGTTGAATTCAGTTATAGATGTTTTCGAATTTAGGAGTAATTACAGAGTTACAGTTTTGGGAGCATTTACTATAAGGCTGCCTAAAAAAGTTATTTGTATTTGATATAAGTTCAGTAACAATCTATTCTGATGCAAGTCAACACGCATGCGCAGCTTACACACAAGGTTATCCGACCGCCGTTTGCCATAGAAATTGGTCTCCATTTGAACAAAATACCATTTCTACCTCGCGGGAAATGACCGCTATATTGTGTGCCTTGCAGAGTTTTCTCCCTTTGATAAAAGGTCGTTTACTCAAATGGTGCACAGATAATCAAAATTGTGTATCTATAATTGAAAGCGGTAGTATGAAATCCGATTTACATAGTATATCGTTATCTGTGTTTGAATTGTGTTTGAAAAATCAAATATCAATTTATATGCAATGGGTTCCAAGAGATAAAAATTTGTACGCAGATTATTTGAGTAAGCTGTTTGATTTAGATGATTGGGGAGTTTCTTTGGCTTTTTTCAATTTTCTTGACGCTATGTTTGGCCCTCATACGGTTGACAGATTCGCATATCATTATAACCACGTGGTAGATCGGTTCAATTCTTTAGGTTGGGTACCGGGTACAGAGGGTGTGGACGCTTTTTCTTTGGACTGGGCAGGAGAAAATAACTGGCTAGTTCCACCGATAAACATGATTTCAAGAACTGTTAATCATATAATTACATGTAATGCCAGAGGGACGCTGGTAGCTCCATTCCGGCCGTCTGCTCCTTTTTGGTCCATGATATTTGTTAATAACGCGGTTATAAAGAGTAAAATTTCGGACATTCTTGCATTTAAGTCAAATTCTGAGATTTCTGTACATTACTTTCACCAAAAATCTTTTTTTGGTTCTGATAAGTTTTTAAGCAAAGTCTTAAATAAGAAAGAACAGCTGTGTAAATAAGTTGCTGTTGCACAATTTTATTTCAAGATTGCTATTAAATTTTGATAATTAGATATTTTATCACAAAATGAAAATTTAGTTTGATATTCGGCTTATGTTAGTGATATGGTATTTTAAACACATTGACCGAGGTTCAAAGGTGCATAGAACTACGCAAATAAGTTGATTGCTTCATAACTTTATTTCAAGTTTGATATTTAACTTTTGAGAATTAATAATTTTATATCAAAATGAATATTTAGTTTAATATTCGGAACGTGCTAGTGTACAGTATAGAACGATATTGACCGAGGGTCATAGTGTGCAAAGAACTATGCAAATAAGTTGATTTATGTATACTTTTATTTCAAGTTTTCCATTGATTTTTTTAATAAGATATGCTATCGCTAATGAATTTTTAGTTTGATATTTGGCAAGTGTTTGCGTTAAGGTATTAAATGACACTGACCGAGGGCCACATTGCTTAAAGGACTATTAATTTTTGATAATAAGATATTATATAATAAATGAATATTTAGTTTGATATTCGACACATTTTTGTTTGTTATTTAGTTTTTAAATAAGATAAGCTACCGCGAAATCATTTTAGATCGATATTTGACACATTTTAGGTATATGGTATTGCACAACATTGACCGAGGGTCAAAATGTATAGCCGAGGGCTTGATAACGAAATCGAGGATTTCATGGAATCGAGGATTCAGTTGTTATGATTTTGGTATTCATGTACAAGTCAATATATTTTTCTCTCTTTTTATACATTTCAGAAATATCATTGGTAAACGATTATTTTCTGATTGTCAA